TTCTTCTGCACTTACTTAAACATGTTCTATGAGCAAGTATGTGGTCTATTATGGAGAACGACCTGTGTGCAGCTGAAAAGAATGTGTATTCTGATTTTGTGGGGTGAAACACTGTAAACATCTCTTAAGTTCATTTGTTCAAGAGTTTGATTGAGTTCTAGTATCTCGTTGCTTATTTTTTGTCTAGTTGATCTATTTGTGACAGTGGGGTATTGAGGTCTCCCACTACTATTGTATTAGTGCTTATATGGTTTTTCATATCCGTTAGTATTTGTTTTGTATAGTTGGGTGCACTAGTGTTTGGTGCAGAGAAATTTATGGTTGTCATCTCTTCCTCTTGGATTGTTCCCTTTATAAGGATATAGTGTCCTTTGTCTCTCTTAATGTGGGTTTGAAATCCACTTGGTCTGCAAAGAGGATAGCTACTCCTGTTTTATTTCATGTTCCTGTCGCATGGAGTATTGTTTTCCACCCTTTAACTTTCAGTCTATGAGTTTCTTTTTGAATTAAAGTGTTTCTTGTATGCAGCATATTGTTGGATTTTGCTTCTTGACCCATTCTGCCAGTCTGTTTCTTTTGATTGGTGAGTTGAGACCATTAACATTGATGGTTATAACTGATACGTATTGAGTTACCATTGTCATGACTGTCTTTTTGTTGGATTCTCCCCCTTTGCTTTTAATTCCTTGTGGTGCCTGGTGGATTCATTCTGCTGGCCTTCTTAGGGTTGTGATCCTCATTGTCCTTTCCTAGGATTTTGTCTAAAATTTTTTGGAGTGCTGGTTTGGTATTCATGAAGTTCCTAAGGTGTTCTTTGTCATGAAAGTAACTTATTTCACCATCAATTTTGAAAGATAGTTTTGCAAGGTACATCAATCTGAGTTGGAGGTTGTTTTCCTTTAGTGCTTGAAATACATCACTCCAAGCTCTTCTTGCCCTGAGGATTTGCGTTGAGAAGTCTGCTGTGATTCTGATGGGCTTTCCTTTGTATGTGATTTATTTCTTTTCTCTAACTGCTTGTAGACTTTTGTTCTTCTGTTCCGTTTCTGGAATCTTAACCATTATATGCTTACGTGTAGATTTTTTTTGATCAATGCTATTTGGAGTCCTATATGCCTC